CGAGTTTTTGTTTGTTTGTTTGTTGTTAAACAGTTGACTCTCTCCCAGGTGTTCCAGCCGCCTATTGAAAAGGCGCCAGGATCTGTGTGATTTCCCATGTGGCGACTCATTGGCCGGCTGAAACAGCAGTGCTGAGATGCCTGGTGGTTTTTTTGCCCAGGAGTCTCCTGGCCTGGCTCCCTGTTTCAGTACCCTTTTAAATAAGATGAATGGGCGATCTGCCTTCCCAGGGCTCCAATCGCCAGCTAAGAGGGCACCCGGACCAGTGTATTTTGTATGGAGAACTGCCCTGCCAGGGCGCTGGCAAAGCAGCTGTGCTGGCCAAAACAGCCACGCTGGCGACCCGTGGGGCTCCTCTGCCTGGGAATCGCCTGGGAATCTCCTGGTCTGTGGGCAATAAAAATCCGTCTGGAAATGCGGTGTCCACTCACCCTCTGCGCTTTCACTGGGAGCTGCAATCCTGAGCTGTTCCTCGTCGGCCATCTTGGAACTACCCCCCCGAAACTCTTTCCTTTTTTTTTTTTGAGTCTGAGTTTCCCTCTGTCGCCCACCGTGGAGTGCAACAGTGTGATCTCGTGTCGCTGCAACCTCCACCTACTGGGCTTAAGTGATTCTGGTGCCTTGGCCTTTGAAATAGCTGGGGTTACAGGCATGCATCACCATGGCCGGCTAATTTTTGTATTTTTAATAGAGACGGGTTTTTGCCATGTTGGCCAGGCTGGTCAAAACTCTTGGCCTCAAGTGGTCCACCCAATCCACCCACCTTGACCTCCCTTTAAAGGGCATGCAGCATTCAGCAAGATAAATAAACCTCAAATCAGATCCCCAAGTGTTGGGATACAAGTGCCTGGCCTAGGATGGTTATTGCTTTTGGTGAATTTATAGCTTAACTATTATGAAATGCCCTTCTTAATCCTCAGTGGTACTCTTTGTTCTGAAGTCCACTTTATGTGATAGTAATGGAGCCACTCCACATTTATTTTGATTTGTGTTTTAATGTTGTATTTCAACCTTTTACCCTTGCCCTATTTGTGTCTTTATATTTAAATTGAGTTTATTATAAATGGCATGTCTTGTTTATATCCATTCTGACAACTTCAACTGCCTTTAATTGGACTGTTTTGCCATTAGCCACATGTGGCTATTTAAGGTTTTGGATACAAATTAAGTAGAATTAAATAAAATTACAAATTGAGTTCCTCAGTTGTACTAGCCACATTTAAAGTGCTCAGTAGCAACTGACTTAACTTACTGGACAGCACAGATTTCCACATGGCATCATGATGTATTGGACAGCTCTGTTTAGACCATTTATACCCAATGGAATTGTATATTGTTGGATGTAAATCTGCTGCTTTGCTATTGTCCCATAAGTAATGGATGATTTTCTTCTAATCTTTTTCTCTCTTTACTTCATTTTTAATAGTTTTAGTTGCTCTGTCTTAAAAGATGATGTTTTTCTTATCCATTGTATTTTTCATTTCTAAGGTTCTATTTTATCTTTTTTTCCCTTATGGTCAGACTTTCCTATATATCATTGAGCATATATATTTTTTTTGAGACGGAGTTTCACTCATGTTACCCAGGCTGGAGTGCAATGGCGCGATCTCGGCTCACCGCAACCTCCGCCTCCTGGGTTCAGGCAATTCTCCTGCCTCAGCCTCCTGAGTAGCTGGGATTACAGGCACGCACCACCATGCCCAGCTAATTTTTTGTATTTTTAGTAGAGACGGGGTTTCACCATGTTGACCAGGATGGTCTCGATCTCTTGACCTCATGATCCACCCGCCTCGGCCTCCCAAAGTGCTGGGATTACAGGCTTGAGCCACCGCGCCCGGCCTCATTGAGCATACTTTTAAGATTTGTCTTAAGGTTCTTATCTGCTAATTTTGCCATCCCTGTCATTTTTTTTTTTTTTTTTTTAATTATTTTCTTGAGACAGAATCTTGCTTTTTCATCCAGGCTGGAGTGCAGTGGTGCTAGCTCACTGTAACCTCCACCTCCCGGGTTCAAACAATTCTCCTGCCTCAGCCTCTGGAGTAGCTGGGATTACAAGTGCATGCCACCATGCCCAGCTACTTTTTGTAGTTTTAGTAGAGATGGGGTTCGCCATGTAGCCCAGGCTGGTTATCCCGAACTTCTGGCTTCAAGTGATCTGCCTGCCTTGGCCTCCCAATACAGGTGTGAGCCACCACGCCTGTCCCCCTGTCATCTTATGGTATGTTTCTATTGATTTATTTTTCTCTTTGTATGGGTCATATTTCTTGCTGCTCTCATGCTAAGTACTTTTTGATTGGGTGGTAGATATTTTGCATTGTCTAATGCTGGATTTTGTTATTCCTTTAAAGAGTGTTTGATTTAGTTATGGTCTGAGGTTAAGTTACCTGGACATTAGCCTGCTCCTTTTGAGACCGGCTTTTAAGTGTTGTTAGGAACTTTTATCTTGAGCTAAAATTTAGCTGTACTATCTAGTTGTGACCCTTTAGAGGACTTTACTATGTGTTACAGGGTTGTCACTCCCTGGCTCTTGGTTACATGAAGTGTTCCTAGACCTGTATGATCTCTGGTAATTGTTGAGCCAGTTGATTTCCTCAGGTGCTTTCCCAGCTTTGGGGCATCCACCCATTGTTATGTGCTGATAAGTACTTGTCGAAACACTGAAACAGAGACCTTTCAGATCTTTGGAGTGCTCTCTCTCTTTGGAGCCCTCTTCTCTTTAGTTCTCTGCTCCACAAATTCTAGCCACCTAGTCCTTCTTGACCTGTGATCTCTGTCTCCTTAATGTGACAGGACTGCTGGATTATGTTAACCTTTGTCCTGCAGTCTGGAAACTGCCTTCAAGCAGTAAATTAGGGTAGTGATAGGGCTCATCTCATTTCTCTCCTCTCAGGGATCACAGTGCTGCTCTGCCTGTTGTTAGATGTCTGAAAACAGTTACATTTTGTCTGGTTTCCTAGTTCATGGAGAGCTGGTAACTCCAGGAGCGGTTAATTGTCCAAGAGTAGTTACTTTTTTCATGTGCAGAAGCAGAACTCCATT